TAGAAGGAAGTTTTAAATCAGGATTTTCCTGGTCTAATCCAAACAAAGGAAATCTCATATGACCTTTCGATACTTCCCATTCTTACTGTTACCTATCCTTACTATTTATTAAGCAGCAACCCAGTAACTAAAAATCGAATAAAAGAACTAATGCAATGCACTACTATGCAGAAATCCAGCCCATCTACAATACCAGAAAGCTCCTAAAAAGTTGGAAATCAGTGTAAATAAAATAAAATAAATAAATAAATAAATAAATCCCTCCACGCTTTTTATGAAGAAAAATTCTCCTCTGCCTGCATTTTAAGTACATTTTCTAGGGACTCAGAAACGACAGAACAAGTCCATTTGTTTTTAAAGCCCAGAATATACCTAAGGGCAAAGTCAGTTTAAATCAAGTTACCCAGACAGGCCAAAGAAAAAAAAAAAAGCCGACCCAATCGTAACCGCTTTCAATCGACAATAGCTGGAGCACATCCAGCGCATTGTTAAGAGCTCTTTTCCTCTTACAATCTTCTGGGGAAGGCGAGTGGGGAAATGTGGCAGCAAGGAAAAAATGACACCAGAACTCAAGTCATTTCCTCCTCCCCCACCCCCAAATGTCCAGAGAGGAAAGAGAAATTTTTTCAGCGCCTATGATTAGATTTCAATTTCTGTTTGTTTCTAGATTTCGGGAAGTTTTGGCAGAAAATGATGTTTTACCCTGGGAAATAGTCTACATATTCAAGCAAGTTTTAAAAGATTTTCTTACCACCATTGAGAGAGAAAACCAAGCAGAGCAGCTGGTAGATGCATGGAATACAAATTGCTCTGAACATTTTAGTCCACATGGCGACAGCTCCAACAAGTCGGACAAAGATGAAATCCCCACGGTTTCAAGTTATGTTGACAAAAACACACAAAGCATGTTTCCCACCTTCTCTCACAGAATCTGGAATCTACCCTATTACTACCCATCAAGTTAAGCTGGTCTGTTTTGCTTTCAAAAAGTTATGCAGCCATCTACATTCCTTTCTTGTAACTGCGATCCAGACGCATAGGAGTAAGAAATGTGACATGCTCCCCTTTTTATTCTAAGTTCAGACATTAAAATCCTTTCTAATAGCTAGTATGCAGTAACTTAAGTATCAACTCACCTTTTATCTTTATAGTTTCTTAGAACTGTTGTGTTTGAAGCCATCTTTTATTAAAAAATGTAAACGTTTCTGAAAAAAACTCTGAAGCATTTTAATTTTTAGCCACATATAGCTAGAAGTATTTCAACTACAAAAAAAGTCTGCTTTGCATATTTTGAAAAGCATCAATCCACAGAGTGTTAGACAAAAAATCCTGTGATTGTCATGTAGCTTTTAGGCTCTATGGGAACTTTATACTGTGTAAAACAAATGGTTTAATATAACATCAGTTAAATAAACTGGTAAATACTTTTTGGAGCTGAATAATTATTTCTAAACTTCAAGAGTAAGTTACATGAAAACACTGACAGAACTTATGCTGCATGCACAATTTCTATATTTTTTTCTGAACTATACTCTGCACATGCTGAAGTATGTGAAGGTGGACAGCTAAACAAAACCACTAAATATTTAGCAGCACTTAACAACTATCTTTCTGTTCTTTAAAAAAATTATTGAATTGTTTTCGTTTTAAATAGCCATTTCTCATTTGACTTACTGAAAGCTGTTCTGAAATCCAAATTCTGCATTCAACTTTCAACATTTTAACCAAATCAGGTGATACTTTCTAGAACAGCCAAGGAGTCAACAGATCATTTCCAACACACAAGGTGTTCATTCCGAATTAACACATAACAAAATTTATTGTTTCTCAGCCATCATCTATCACTGTGGGTTCACAAAGTTTTACAAGATTAATCACATACGTAGCAGTCACGGTCACAGCAGGCAATTAGAGCAGAAAATCAATGAAAACATATGCCAGAACTCAGTTGGCTACATTTCCAATTGTGCTCCTATCACCGTAACAAGTTTTTACATGTTTTATATAACCTCTTCTCTGTATTTCATTTTGATCTGTCTGCCAGATCAGAAAAAAAAAGGCCAAGATTCACATGGCCCAATTCACAGAATACATGATTTCATAAACAAAGCTGCTTCCTCTGGTATTTTCTTCAAACATACTGAAGAAAACATTCAGATTTCATCAAGGTGGTAATATAACTTCAAGGCATCTTATGCTCCACAGCTGTATCCCCCCTTCCAGAAAGAATTTACTAATAATGCAACATAAATTGGATGAAGAAATGGCAAAATCATTTACTAAGCACTTTTAAATCTTTTAAGAATTGTTTTAAAAATGCCTTTGTAAAGCTTACAATACAGAGAACATTCATATAGTAAAGTAAAACATAATATACACAGAAGATAAAACAGTAAGAACTCCTACATCCACCTAAAGGACAAAGCACTAGAGTAGTAGAGCAAAAATAATTCCAACATATTTAAAATAATAAAAGCTGCAACTCAATACCAAAAGTAACTAGACCCTCTACTTCCCATAAACTAAATATACAACGCTTTGTAAGGACAAGTAAACCTCTTGTATCTGTACTCAGAACAGCTACAGACTCTTTGCCTTATTCTTATCAGTTGTCAGTTTCTCAGGATTAATAACAAAAATACCATTCTAAATTTACTCTCCCCTATTGATGCAGCACAAGAAGTTGGAGATTTTTCTCCTACAGTTCTAATCTAATCACTGCATGAAGGCAGCAAGAGATTCAAAGAAAGGTTTTTCCACAGTGATAAAACTCTCACCAGTACTAAATGTCAAGTACTTTCCTATAGGAAATTTCCTAAAGTGTCTTTCCTACAGCAAGGAGGGTAACAGGTACTGAGTATTTAAAAGGCATTGACAGAATTAATATCCCTCTCAGAATTAATATCCATGATGCTGGTTTCAGATAGCTTTGAAACGTGCAGGATTCCTGCAATGGCAATTCATGTAGGTTTGTTTCTTAAAAATAGTCTTCACAGCTTTCTATCTGAAAAATAGGTTAAAAAAACCTCTAAAATGCAGTTTCCAAATTACAGTTTATGGAAAATGGAAAGCCAGGTACATGGAAGATCCACTTACCTTAACAATCACCAAAACTGGGTAGGGAAAACAAACAAACAAAAACAACAAGATAAACCCAGATACAACTTGCCCAAGGTTTGTAAACTTCACTTCAATTTCATTTTAACATGAGCAAATGCATTTTTCCAAGTTCAGAAACAAGGATCATCAACTATGCCATATTCTAAAAGGCAGTTGCTGTGTAATAGTTTAAAAATATAGATAGCCATCATAGCCAATTTCATGTTAAATCTCTTTACAATGCCAGGGAAATGCACAAAAAGGCTCACCTACTTTTATATGCATGTTTTAATCAGACTACTGCATCCTGTTCTAGTGACCACATTTTGGGGGGAAAGGAGAAAGAGAAAGCATGGAGCTATTGGTAAGAAATTCTGTCCCCACTTACACAAATGGTCGTTTAGGATGCATATTGCCTGTGTCCCTCTTGAACATGGGGAAAAGAATTAAAACAACCAAATGTGTAAAAAATTGTTTTTCCCTACTAACTCAGCTGTCAAACTCATAGTTAGGTTACCTGCTAAGACCTGTGAGTTTAAAGAGCTTTCCGTCCAACCAAAAATAAAGATTTGCCTCTGCCTAGTCAAACAAGGCTTAATGAATCTTATTTTTCCTGTCTACAGGAAACACACAAAATAGATTTTGTGGCTTAGTATTCAGTTGGGTTCAAGAATCTCTCAAACACTTCATAAATACTACAGAAACGTTGCTATCACCTAAATAAAGACCGAGAAATCACAAACATCTTGTTCGTACTGGGTTGAGGCATCACATTCACAGAAATAACTTAAAAGAACTGTAAAATTTTGTCTGATCACTTCTGGAAAATTTTAACTACTTGCACAAAACCCAGTAGGTCGTGGTCAGTGATTCAGAGCTTGGTCATGGCAGCACCTTTACACTGAAAGAGAAGGAATGGATATTTTGAGGTGCCAATTTTGTCCTTCACTTGAAGCAAAGACAGAAACACTGACAGACTGAACTGTCTCTGCTGAAATCAGACAACCTGATAGCAAGATGTTACGTAAAAAATTAATTCTTTTTCTGATGCTAATGTACACGTTACACAAGAAATACACCTTCCTGAAATACAGCAACCTCTATTGCTGTCCATCACACAGGGAAAAATCAAACCAGAAATACTCACTCTAGAGCATATGCTCAGCTCATCTTGAAAAATACTATATGGAAGTGCATACAAAACACTTTTCTATGGCAACCACAGATTCACTGTCACACCTGGTCTAAATACCGAGATTAGTATGCACTGCCACAGTCCAGGCAGCATCCAGGGGAAAGTATTTGGATTTCAATATCCAGACTCCAGTGAAAATCAAATGTACCTGGCTGCTATGCAAACACACATATACTTCCGCTGCCTGTAAACACTGCCATGAGAATAATGAAATGGTGTGAGGAACAGTATGTCAATACACCTCTAACTTGCTTTACTCTTAAATGCTTCCCTTAGGTCATGACAACAATGAACTCGTGAACCTCATTCATCACTTACCACTGATAAAATTTTAAATTAATGCACCCAAATCAGAATAAACTGGTCTTTTCTAGTCCAGTTCTACAGTTTTTCAACAGGACTAGGTACAGGTGCACGCGAATGCTAATGCACTTCACAGAAAGCAAACCCTACACACGACTCATCTCAGGATGATGGAGACAACAGACCTAAGCAGCAAATCAGAAAATAACATTAAGTATTAAATGCACAAAAACACATCAACCACAGATGCTACCGGTGGTGTTAGGCTGGAATCCAACAACTGCACACCCTGGGCCCACCAGAGGAGGTGCCCTGACTGGGGAATGCCCAGCACACTCAGGCCCAGGGGCACACAGCAGAGAGGGACGCCATCAAGAGCAGCGGCCCGCCGCCCCGCACTCACCCCTCAGCCGCCAGTGGTTCCTGCGCGGGGCTGTGGGGCGAAGCGCCACGGCGACCGAC